AGTAAGTTGTCATAGCAAAAGCAAAAGAATTAAGTGAAATTAATGTAAATAAGTCCATAAGATGAACTGCAGCCCAAATAGACTTTTTAGAGCTTATAAGCTTTTCCTCAGGGTTGTTTTCTTCAACACTTTGACTTTGTTTTCTTTCAGCCTCCCTGTTGCAGACACTGGATATTTGAGAGTTCATGGGCACCTTGCAGTCAATCACTGCAAGGTGCCCAGATCCTGCGGCTGCAATACAAACCCAAATCACCACCTCTCCTCCACCGCCATGTTTAATGGCTGTTAGAAGATATTGGTGCTGTATTTTCCTGACTTGCTGCTCTGAATTGAAGATCCTCATGTTGGTCTGGAAATTATTGATGTTGTTCTGGATGTTGCTCTGACAGTGAGACCTAAGAGGGGATTTGCTATAATAATCAAAGGTTGTCCTTAATGTTCCCATTATTTATGAATACAAACAGACTCAGGAGTTGTTAAAAAAATTCCAGCACAATTACGATTTTCCAAATAAACATTCCATGTTGTAATGGCTCTGCAATAATATTATTACTGTACTAAAGCTATTACCTTTTTTTCTGTACAATATTATACAGCTGAAACCAGAAGTTTACATACACCATAAAAAGACATTTTTTTCCATCATTATCTCACCATAAATCAAATGAGACTGTTCCTGTTTCAGGTCAGTTATTATGTAGCAATAATCTTTAATACTGTATAATGATTTATTTTTTTATAGTTGGGAATAATGCTAATGACCATTCTTCAACTAATTAGCAGCAGAGGACCAACTTTAAGGTCCAGTGGTGTTAGTGATGGGGGTGTACTTTCTTTCAACTATCACTAATTTGTACCTTTTAAGGAAAAGTCAACTGACCAATAAAAGCATAAAACAGTAAAATAACTAACATTTGGCAACTACACATAAATTCAACATCCTAACATTTAAAGCACATGTTTTTATTTTACAGTTTTTTTTTCTGTTTTCTTAGTTTTACCTGATAAGTTAAGATTTCCCACTAAGACACAAAGTACTGAATTGTTTGGAAATGTCAGTCTCACCTGCACCACAGCTTTGGAACCAGTGACCTCCAGCACCTGCCCACTCCTCTTGGTACCATCAGGCAAAGTGAGATGGACAATCTCAGCGTACTTTGGAAACTGTTCAAGTGACACATGACCAACAAGCATTAACAACACTATGCATGTTCCATATCAAAACCAACTGAACAGTCCTGACATGTCATGACTTGACAAAGACTCAAGAATCCTGACATTTATATTTTATTCTAAATGAACTCTGCAGTAGAAACCCATCAGATGTCATCCCATTGAATCACCACAAACTGTTGGTGTGAAACATTGTGAGCTGGGCTTCAGGTGTCTGCAGACATGAGTCTAATCGTAGTTGGATTAATGTGGACAAAATAATAGTTTCCAGACTCTACACACATCTCTGCTTCTTACCTTGACTTGATCCAAAATCACCAGAGGACCATTGACTCCAGAAACAGTTTTATAGGCTGAAATACAGAGAACAGCAACCCAGTGAAACACAGCTGTCTTCAAAAGCCAGAATGTTTTTTCTTACTGACATGAAGTCGATTAGAATTCTCTGAATTTATTTCAGTGCTGGAGACAGATTTTCTATGGGATATTTGAGGGCTTTTTGATGGCCACTCCAAATATTGAGAGCTAATCTGGTTGTAGGCCTGGGGTCATTTTCCACTTATAAGACTTGTTTGTGGCCAAGCTTTAGTCATGGCCAATGTCTGTAGGTGTTGATATGGTTTAGAAAATTCTCTGTTTATCACTTCACCATCTTGCTCTTTTCTGCTGATAGGGATCTTTCTGTATGCTGATGCTGTTTAATGTCTGAATCCAGAATAGTTTACACATCTGAAAATAGATTAGGACTGAGGTTAATAACCTCTGAACTGCCAAACTGAAGGGAATCAGTATGGATGACAGAAGATGCTGACACAAATGAAGCACTGGGAAAAATAAAAAGCTTCAGATTATTGAAGTCAGCAAGCAAATCAATTTTATCACTAATAGTTGTTGGCCTGGTCACAGTGCAGTGAACAGCAAATCCTTCTCATTTTTTGACTTGCATTTGGAATATGAGCAAAGTTCTGGCTTTACGAACCCAGCAGCTTTGGTAATGTTCAGGACACTGGGGGGAAGGCGGCATAGGTTAAATTCTGCCCCAAAACCTCCATAAAACCGGTGGCCAGCATAAAGTAGCCTTGGCATTCCTTGACTGAGGCAAAGTTGTTGTAATGTTTACTGTCACTTTAATCCCCAAACTGCCTCCAAAAAGGTCTGAATAAGCTGGAAAAATGAGGACAGAAAGACAAAAGTGAGCAAAGGATTCATCTCTGTATCAGCTGTTAACAGATGATGTTCAGTGACTGACACCTTTCTGACCTTCTCCTGAGCTGTCAGACACAAACAGCATCATCACACACATCCACACACTCACTCAGGCGGGGCTGGGAGATGTAATCCCGGCTAACAGCCATCGCATGCTCCCTGGAGGCGGCGGCGGCGGCCGGGTGGACCGGAGCAGCGGCGGTCGGTCTGTTCCCGCTGACGGCCGATGAAAACTCGCTCATGGCTCCGTTCACCATCCCTCTGAGCGCCCTCATCGCCATGTTTCCACCGCAGAAACCGCAGCGATGTTCGAGTCGTGACAGCTGAGGCGCATGCGCACACCGCAGCAGTTGCAGCTCATAAAAAGGTAATTTATATTTGGCAAACAGATTCTAATCTGGTTGTGTTTTCATCCACAGTTAAACTTTCTGAATAACATATATTAATATATAATGTTATTATAGTTTTATATATTTAAAATATTAAATTAACTGCAAATTGAAATTTATGTGTGACTTACTTGTGTGCAAAAGTCTCACCAGAATAGAATGTCTGCTTTCTTTTCTTTCTTGCTTTTGGTTCTGGACTGCTTTGCATCCAGAACCATAGTCTTCTAATTTATGTGACTCTGAAGGTTGAGGTCACAGTTCATCACTACACCCAGGTTTCAGCCTGATCTGTAATTTCCAGCTGTAAAATTACATTACACCCATACAGTTTTGTCCAGCAGGCCACTGCTGGCTCTCACCCGTTCTTCTCCAGGTGTCCAGAACTGTCTGAAGATTTCTTCTCAGGTTATTTTTCATCTACTTCCTGGTTGATGAACAGACAAGCTCTGCACTGGTGGCAATGCACTCTGCAGGAGACCATGCAACAGCCACCTTTTCTACAGCTGCAACCTGCAACCTTTAACCCCTCAATGATTCAGAAAGTATTATGTCTTCTCGGATTCAGTTTGACAATTTGACTGCACTGGCATGAACTCAGCCAATCATTTTGTTCCACAACAGAAATAACAGAAATACAGTAAAAAATTAATTATTATAAAGAAAACAGATTCATGTGTATCTGAGATGATCACATACAATAACTGGAAACATATGGGATCTGTCAGCACAAAAAGTGAAACATCCTTAAAGGGTTTTCACCAAAATGACATTGAAGCTGCATTAAATAACACAAAAAGCCAAACTAAAAGTTACAATGAAATAAAGTTTTATTTGGATCATTTGGGGGAAGAGTTGTAAAAAGAATCTTTATATGCAATAAAAAATCTGATTTAAAGATAAAAAAACGAAAAACAGTGAAGACAGCAGCAGCTGGTACCAGAACTGTGCTGCTCTTAACACAGCTAACGTTGTCTCTGCTGTCTCCTCAAACCTCCAGTCGGTTGCAGCAGATGGCCACTCATACTGAGCTCGGTTCTGGTTCTGTTGGAGCTTTCTTCCTGTTAAACAGGCATTTTCCAGGGCGTCATGTGGTGCAGTGTTTAGAGTGGGCGCCATGCTCTAACTATACAGAGACCTCAATGCAGCCATCCCGAGTTCAAGTCCCATCCTCGGGTCCTTTACTGCATGTCTCTCTCCCCTTTCTCCCTGCACACTTCCTTTCAAATACAAACCAGCAGAGTCAAAAAAATTAAACTAGAAACACTAGACTCAGGGTGCGGTGGTGGTGCAAGGGGTAAGCACAACCCACATGAGTCCTCGCCTGGTGACCTTTGCCGCATTTCTCCCCTCTCTCTCATTACCTCCTTTCCTGTCTAAACACTTTAAAATAAAGGCCATTAGAGTCAAAAAAACACTCGAGTCGAAAAAATATAATAAATTTGACTAGAGTTAAAAGAATTCTTTAAAAAAGGCATTTCCATTTGTGCTGTCACTACATATTGGTCCAGGAGGAATCAATCTGCTGGGTTTCCTTAGAAAACTGTTCAACCAGTTTGAAAAATAAACTGAACTTAACCTTGAATGTGTGTTTATGATTCAGTTGAATTGAGTTTTGGGGAGTTTTTGGTGAGACCATATGTTGTGGACGGGATCCATCTGAACGAACAGACTGAGTTTAATTTTAGGTTTAGCTCAAACAGTGAGGACAGTCTGAAAGCCTGGACCTGAACTGCACATGGCACTACTAGAGGCTCAAATTACTTAATTAAATTAAGGGCTAATTTAATTTTAGCCCTTAAATTTTTAGCCCTAAATTTAAGGGCTAAAAAAAATGGGTTTTGTATGTTATGTCCCCTTTAACCTGCTTTGTCTTGGTAACTAACAGCCATCGTATCTGTTAGCGCTGGGTCTCTGGGAGGTTCTGACCGGGTTCCTTAAATTTGGTGTGCTCCTGTTGTCAGCTGATCTGTCTCCATTAGCAACAGATGTCCAGTTGGGGGAGTAGTGAGGAAGGTTGGGTAGAGCTCCACCTCTGTCTAGCAAGGCAAAGGAGGGGTGCCACTGTGGGTCAGGTAGAGGGGGATGCCTGGACCTGTTGGTGTCTGAGTGAGGGGCTCTCCATTGAGCTGGGGGCTGAGGGGCCCATCTGTAGGGATGGAACAAGGCTGGTGGAGGAGCCAGAGGAGGCTGAGCGAGTAATGGAGGGCGGGCGAGTAATGGCGGGCGGGGTGTGTGGGCGGGTTGAGGGGGGTACGGGTGAGAGCGGTGACTCGGTCCTCCACGCCGATGTGACCTGCAGGATTCATAAAACAATGAATACTGCTTCATTTTTACAAACATATTTGCTTTGTTCTTCAGGATTTCCTTCTTACTCATAGATGAATGAAACATTTATTGAATTTCTTTTTATATTATCACATACAATAATAATTAAAACAATAATTAATATTTACATTTTAAGAACAATGTTACGAGGCATTTTAAAAATATTTTCATGACATTTAGTTTTGACATTGTTCATAGCTTTTTTAAATCATCTGTGTTTTGGATTATTAAAATATGTTTAAATCTTTCGTATGAAGACAGTTTACAATGGAATAGTGTAGTTAATTATTTACATTTTAGCAGAAATCGTGGGTTAAAAAAACTTATGTGTTTTTAATGTTTTCACATTTTACATTTTAAGATTTATTTTCACAATTACAGTAAAATGTCAGCAGTTCAGAGTTGAGTTGAGTCAGTGGGAAGGAATATGTTGCAGCTCCTGATGTTCCTACTGCAACCTGCTTCAAGGAAACTGAGACAGTGACATGTCCATAAAGGGATATAGGATGTACCTGTAGTAGTCACGGTGAACTCTGCTGAAAGAAGCTGCGACAGGCGGCCGCTGGATGGCTTGGCCTCTCTGTGGCTCCTGCTCAAACTCCTCCATGCCCACGTTACTGTGGTAACAATCGGAGCAGACGGTCACCCAGCAATCATCCAATAAAAATCACTCAAAAGCATGAAGAAGATTTTACGTTTAATTTTTCAGCACAATTTAACAAACACAGAACAAGCTTCCAACATTTAGATTAGTAAACTTTGTTTCCACTTTCCCAACTACTGTCCCTAATGATCCAGGGGTCAGAGGGGTCACAGGGGTCAGGAGTTGGTCCACCGAGCTACTCCCTGTGTAGAGCAACAGTTTCTCCTCCAGATGTCAATAAATCAGTTCTTTTAGCTAACAGAGATAATACAGGAAATGAGGGATGAGGAACTTTAGATCTGAAGCATTACCTTGTTAAGCCACTAGGTGGCGTCTATAAAATTTTCTTTTTGAACGGCTGAGAAAATTGCCATTATTCTGCTTTTCCAGAGAACACCAATTAAAAAACTAAACAGAAGCTACAACAGTATGAGTGGATTCATCTTTCTGTAAAGCTAAAACCTGTTGATGTGTGCGGTCACTTCCTAAACTACCAGTGTACCACGGTCAGAGCTGTTCTCACTGCCTGGTGGTATGACAGCATCACTGTCTGGATGGTAACAGGTTTAATAAGCTGATCAGAAAGTGAGAGCAGACTGTTGGGTTGGTGGAGCCCAACAGTCTGGACATGATGTGTCACCTCCGTTTTGGACCGTGCTGAAGGTCATCCAGGTAGTTCTGTCTCTCGATAGCGTAGCCCCGGGACGAGTTGAACACTGTAGAGAACAGCAGCAGAGTGAGATCGATCACAGAATCCTCCTGCTGGGGTCTGAAAGCATGAGACTTACGCTGCACCGCCTGGGCCGGGTCCATCCCGTCCACGTCGATCAGATACCTGCAGGTCACACACAGCGGTTAGAGCGGCCTGTGGCTCCTGCTCACACTGCAACGGTCCGGATGAACCTACCTGCAGATCAGGTAGCCGGTGCGGTTCAGTCCGTGGGTACAATGGACCCCGATGAGCTTGTCTGCAAGAGAACTTGGTGGTTAAACAAATAGAAAAAGAGATGAACAAGGACATAAATAAATGTTCATATAGGTCAACTTTTATTTAGAAAGTTATCTCATTAAAACCAGCTCTTTAGTTATTGATTTTATTGTCCATTTGTTGCTCAGCTCTTCCCTCACCATTGTCCTGGTTGTCTCGGAGGAACCTGTGGACAGCGCGCTTGAAGCTCAGGATGGTTTGGTCACTGGGAACCTCATGGCCAGCTGTGAAGATCTTAACACACAGCAGTGACTGAGGAAGGTCCTGCAGAAACATACACATGCACACACACACGCCGCTCAAGTTCAGCAGCTTCACAACACGTCCATCCCCAGAGGCCGTTGAAGTAAAAGACTAATTGACTTATAACTTTTCAAGTCAGTACTAGTGATGGATAGGGTAAGGGTTTAGACTGTAAAAAGTGAATGGAAGTCAAAGTAAAGTCCCCACAGGTCACGAAAACACAACTGTGTGTGCATGTGTGTGTGTTTACCTGCAGATTATAATAACGTGAGGTGAAAGTCAGGTCAATGATCAGCCCCAGCTCATGGTTGTCCTCCTTCAAAGCATCCAGCAGTTCCCAGGGACCAAACACCTCGGAGGGGGGAAGTGTCCTAATCAAAGCCTGAGCAGAAGCAGACAGAGTGTCACTGGTAAAAACAGACACACTTCTGTTCCCACAGAGTCCACTGTGACATGCTACTGACCTGCTTCAGAGGGACTTTGAAGGCGATGAAGCGAGTTCCTTTCAGTCTTTTCCCCACCGCTGTGTAGTCCTGCCACCTGTTGGACACAAACCCACAGTCACCCCGTCTGTCTCCATGATTGTCTCTCTATGACTGTCTCTTAGTGTGCTTCAAATCACAAAACACATAATATTTAGGACAGCTTCTGCTTCAGGTCTGTAGCAAGCAGTTATTTCACAGATTTATTTCGACAGGCTCCACTACCAGGTCTGTAACATTCAGATCTGTTAAACAAGGACCATGATGTCCAACGCTGATTACTGCTGAGTTCTTCAAAGCAACTTTTTGATATATTTAAACTGTTTATAAAGATTCCATAAAACAGAGATAAAGAGCCACAGGTCTCCCAGCTTTAGTTGTGGTTAGGCCTGTCGCAATAAACGATAAATCAATTAATCGCACAATAAATTAAACCTATCGACCTCATTTTAATTATCGGCTTTGTCGTCTTTTCCTGTCTTTTTTTTCTGTTGATGACACTGAATAAAAAAAGGTTCAACTCCGGTGCTCTCCACTGACTCTCCCTTCCTCATTTCCTTAGTGCAATGTCC